GATATGAATATTTAATACATACTCTATTTTATCTCATTATTATTCACATTCATATAATCAGAGCTCAAGGTTTGTAAAACTGTTTGAAATATACTTTTGTTATGGTTTTCATTATATCTCTAAACGTGAAGTTTTATTATTGCATTATACAGTAATTTATATGTGATTTTGCGTTAAGATTCACACCACTTATTTTCTAAAGTATACTATTGTCATGAATAAAAATATTACACATGTTTATAATTTATTTAATTTTTGACATAAGCAATTAATGACCTAGAATATTAATGCTAGTAATGTGACAATATTGCAGTGGAATGGGAACTAAGAGGAATAACCACTTAATTGAAACATAATTCTAATAAATGATAGAAAATATTTATTTATTCAATCGTTTCACAAACTTCTCAATAGTTGATGTCTTAATAATTCAATCAAAACTTTGTTTGTTTTACTCTTAAAGAAAATATTTGAGATCAATATATGCATAATACTAATAATGATATTAATATGAATTTATTTACAAAAATATTTGTTTAGAAGACTTTGAGTTTTCTAGTCAGTCATCGGGAAGTATAGTATGCTCGCTGTCACCGAACTGTAGTTCCTGTATCTCTCAACCGCAGTGTGCCTGGTGTTCGGCACAGACACCACTGCCCGGTATCACTCGATGCGACTCATCGGAAAGCCTATCAGCCAACGGCTGTCCCGACAAAGACATCGTAAACCCGGCCTCTTCTGTAGAGATTGTGAAGGTATTCATGAATTGATACGAAAATATGATTCAATAAAATTGATTACAAAATAGGATGACATACGGATTAATCTCTCACAATCGCCCATTCAATTGCATCCACAAAAAATTCATTTACATATCAGAAAAAGTAATTTTAACCTGTTATTAAAAACCAAATAATCATATGAAATTTAAAATCAAATAATTTGTAATACATATCTAGATGATGTGCAAAGATTTCGCATAAAGTATGAACAGGCACTCGACTATCCTATAGATTTATATTACTTAATGGATTTGACTTACTCTATGAAAGAGCATAAGGAAAAACTCGTCGAATTAGCTGATAGTCTGGGTATAAGTTATTGATATATGCATTCAGTTTCATAATTAATAAACATTTTAATATGTTATCAAATTTAATTAATTAATACAACTTATGGTTATTTTTAATGGAAAGCCATTCACATGAACAACATAACCAAATCATTCCGACTGGGCTTCGGTTCATTCATAGACAAAGTGGTGATGCCGTACGCGAGTATGGTTCCCAACAAACTGGCCAACCCTTGCACGGATCAGCAACAGTGCGCCCCTCCCTATGGTTTCCGCAATCACTTAGGCCTCAGTACAAACATATCACAATTCGTTCTGGAGGTGGGGTCGACACCACTTTCAGGCAACTTAGACAACGCTGAGGGAGGTTTTGACGCCATAATGCAAGCCATAGTCTGTCGGCAACACATTGATTGGCAATATTTGTCACGAAAGATAATACTCTTCGCCACGGATTCCATATTTCATTACGCGGGCGATGGAAAACTCGGAGGAATTGTTCAACCAAATGATGGTAATTGTGTAGATAATGAGCTTACTTTCAAAGATCATATTAAATATCATCTCATTTTTTAGGTGAATGTCATTTGAGTGATGAAGGAGTCTATACTGAAAGCAAAGAACAAGACTATCCATCGCTGGAACAGATCAATAGAGTGGTCACTGAATCCAAGACAAACATTATCTTCGCTGTTCCCGAAGACAGTATTAATGTGTATAAGCAGTTGAGTGAACACATTCCCGGCTCAACCACTGGTCTACTCAAAGACGATTCATCAAACATTGTGGACATAATAAGAGATAACTTCAAGAAAATCGCTTCAAAAGTGGAATTTAGAGACAATTCTTCAGATGCCATACAAATCCGTTACATGTCTTCGTGTTTAGGCTCTCATAAGAGTGAGTCAAACACGTGTCATAACATAGGCATCG